CACTCGATTCTTTTCTGAAAGCACTTCCAACCCTGCACTCTCTCTAGACATATGGTGGACCTCTGGCCTGGGATCTTTATCTAGCTCTTGCCTGGTGAAGGACTCCCATCAGAGCAAACCCCTTGCTGTACCTACAGATTACAACAATCATCTGCTCAGCCCACTACCACTATTTCCCTGGAGAGCTTCTTAGGTGCTCAACTTACTTCACCCTAGTAAGCACAGGGAAAAAGCCCAGACCATTTCATTTCCTTCTCTGAGTTGTAGTCCATCTCTTCAACTTCTCCTCAGATTAACAGATGTAAGAATGCAAAGTTAATTAGACAAAGAGAATAAAAGGAATTATAAAACACTACAAATGATACAGAACTTCACTGAACAAGATGGTAGAAATTCAAAAATGGCTGCTATATTGCATATTGTTGTCTTCAAATTAGTTTTTCAGATTACCAGCTATAAGCATGCAAAATTGTTTTAAAAAATTAAGCATTAACTGTTCCTTTCGCTAAACCATGAGACATCAGCAGTACAATTATCCCAGCTATCCTTCTACATATATATTTTTTTCTTTACTTCTTTCTTTCTTTTTCTCTTTTCCCTCATCCCAATTTTTCCTTCTTTTAAGCAATTTTTTCCCTTTCATAATATCTGTTGTTCATTTGGGGTTTTATTTATCTTTTAGGTTCTCATAAAACTAGGATTAATCTATATTTTCTTCTGACACTAAAAGGTTTTGGAATCATACTTAACACTTATCTAAATGAGTTTAGTTTTCCAAAAGCTAAGATGTATTTGTTCAGTTTAGTCCATCTAAATTTAGATTCAGTTTTTCCCCCTACTTATTAAAAAGATTATTCTTTCTCAAATATATTCTCTTAAAGCTTTTGTAGAAAATTGACTTGCTAAAAATTTAATTCTTTTTTTTTAATCTAATCATTGGTTTATGTTAGTACCATGCCATTCTGGTTACTATAGTTTCATAATGTTTTTTTAAAATGAGTTATTGCACTATCTCCAGCTTTGTACTTTTTGCTCACAGTTGTTTTGTTTTGAAGAAATTTTGTAACTCAATAAAGATTTTAAGATTGCTTTCTATTTTCTGTGATAAATGTCATTGTTCCTTTGGTAGGAATTGCATTGTCTATCCATTGTTCTTCATAGTAGAGGCATTTTATTTTATTTATTTTTTATTTTAAAAGTAAAAGGAGGAAAACATTAACAGGCAGACAACCTTTTACAAAATAGCAAAAGGACAGTACAAACAATACAAAGTTGCAAACAAAGTGGTAGGAAATTAACAGTGCTTGTTGTATTACATATTGATATCTTTGAAGTGGTTTCTCATGAAAGCAGATAGAGACATGCAATACTGATCAATCAAGGACTTATTGACAGTTTCTTTCAGCAAAGAAATACAAGACAGTAAAACAACTATGTTAACTATCCTGTGTATACATACATAAAAAATTTCTCCTTCTTTCCCTTCTCTTTTCCCATATCCCAGTTGCCCTTTACCCTTGAGTGTTTTCCTATCATTTCACAATGTCTATCATATCTCCTAGTTTGAATTAACTCTTTCAGGTTTTACACTAGTGAGACAATGTGATGCTTGCACATGCAGGTCTGATTTATTTCACTTATGAGTATGGTCTCTACTTGTGACCATTTACCTATAAAAGCCTCGAGTTTATCTTTCTTTATAGCTGAGTAATATTCCATAATATAAAAGTACTACAATATTCTTATCCAATCCTCAGTGGATGGACATTTGGGTTGCTTCCACATTTTAGCAATTAAAAATTGTGCTGCTATAAACATAGGTGCACATATATTGCTGCAATATGATATTTTTAGATCTTCTGGGAAATTACCCAGAAGAGGAATAGTTGGGTTAAATGGGACCTCTAGTCCTAGTTTTCTGAGGAATCTCCAAACTGATTTCCACAGTGGTTTCACCAGTCTGCATTCCCACCAGCAGTGGAGAAGGGTTCCTATTTCTCTACAGCCTCGCCAGCATTTGTTTTTGTTTTTGTTTTTGTTTTTTATTTTAAAGAATAAAAGAAGGATAACATAATAATAGGGGGGACTTAGCAAATTACAGACAAAATGGTAGGAAATTATCAATGGTTATCGTTTTACATATTATTATCTACAAAATAGTTTCTCAGGAAAACAAATAGACAAATAATACTGAGCCCTGCCTGAACTTCACAGTGAGACACTGTCTCAAAATGACAAAAAATTAAGAAAAAGAAATGGTGCATCTGTTCTTCCAATGACCATAATTGCTAGTGTTATTGGAAGAAATGTTTTATACGTGTTCAGTAGGTTCATTTGATCTAAAGTACTATTTAAGTCCAATGTTCCTTTATTAATTTTGTCTTGATGACCTAAAATATTGTACATTAATGTCCTCTATGATTATTGTATTGCAATGCCTATCTTCCTTCAGATACTTAAATATGTACTTTATATATTTAAATGTTCAATACTTGGTGATTATATATTATATTATAAATATTTATATATAAATATATTTTTTCATATAACATATATTATACATATTATATATATTCCATTATTTCATGTCAGGATGAGTATTACCTGATAAGCAAGGAAGTCATTTTAACATGTTTGTGCAAGATATTATTATTTACAATATGTATATAGTCTGTATGTATGCAGGAGTGCTATACACTCCTGTTGAAAAAGAACTCATAAAATGTCCCTTTCTGTCTCATTTTAGAGTTTTTAGAAATAGTTTTTTATTGGCCCCATTGGGCAGGGGCACATTCTAAATTGGCTGCAAATTCTCCATTCACTTCTGGTCCCCAGAGTCCTAACAGTTATATTGCCTAGAGATAAAAAATTTGAAATGTTTATTTAATGGGAAGCTGGTAGGTTTACTGTCTAGAACTCAACAATTGGCACACTTTCTGACATCACCATGAGTTCATGATTCCAACAAAAGTAAAAAAAATCACTGTGTGTCAGAAAATGCTGCTAAGAAACATCCCTAAAATCATCTCCATGCTGCTGAGGACCCAAATGCTGCCTGTACCATTCATTTTCTGCCAAGAAAAATTCAGGGAACACATTTTCAGCTGACAACATCTGAGTGAGCAAGAAGAGCACAGTAAGTTCTTGGCAGTGAAACAGAAGGACAGAGAAGCTATTCCTCTAAAAGCATAGTCTGGCTAAGGAATTAAGGAAAGTTCATAGATTCAAAGAAGAAATTGAAGAAATCACAAGTACCTAGCCAAGAAAGAAGCCTTAGGTTATCCTATAGCTGCTACTCCTTGATATCTTTCTTGCCCTCTGCTCTTTCTGAGATTATTTTCTACATCCCTTCCCTCTCACATAAGGAAGTATCACTTTCCTATTTCTCTTCTGGGTGACACTTCATTTCCCTAACTTCTTATCCAGTGCCTGGTTCTTGTTCACTTACTCAATCTCAGAAGGAAGTTTGCTTCTCCTTTACACACAAATTCAAGGAGCATTCCAAACCACCTCAGTGCTTTCTGCAAAATGCAGAAATAACACCTTCCTTTTCCCAGGACATTAAATGTGGTCATTCAGGAAAAGAGATTGGCATAGGTCTCTGCAGCTGGTAAGTGTTAATAAACATGACTTACTATTCCCAGCATTATCTGAGCACCTTCAATGATAAGTACTGCCCCCATGTGTGTACTGTATTGCATAAGGCAATTTTCATATAGTAGATTTCTCTGTTGTTGGAAGTAGAAAACTACATTTGATTTTCACTGTTTAGCCTTATCAAAGACACTTCATTATAATAACATTCCAAGTGATTCTAGGTTGCCAATTAAACCATCTGAAATGTGACCAGTTTACTTTTATACAAACTCTGAAGCTGAGACTGCTTTTACTTCATTCGTCAGATGGGTTTGATTTTAAGACTGTTTGTCAGTGGCAGTAGTCATGTTGTCTTCAATATGAGTTTCATGGAGATTCCTCAATTTCATGTCAGCATGAATATTATCTAAAGATAAAAGAAGCTACTTTATCATGTTTATGCAAGATTTTATTGTTCACAATTTTTAAATCTATTTCAATGAAGTATCCTTTGCATCTAATAAGATACTCCTATTAAATTTAGAATTTCATAGTATAAAATTCAAATTATTAACAGTAAATGTTTATTGCTTTCTTGAGTAGTAGGCTACCTAGATTTCAAATTTTGTATGCAATGAGTATACATGTTTATAGCTAAGTGGTTTGAAATTTTTTCCACCTGTGTGAATTAATGAGAATAATGGGAGTTCTTCCTTATGCTGCTTCTATCATAACAAGCTGTTGCTGTTGGGTGTCAGGTTTCAAATAAATTATGAAAATTAATCCAGTTATGTTCATGTGATATTAAATAATTTTTATGGCCTATATATCAGTGAGATGTGAAGTTATTAGTTTGGCATCTTGTTTTCATGGAAGAAAACATGGTCCTTACATAATCTCTCCACTGATTTATTATATTTTGATTGAAAATTATTTATTTATTTGATTTATTATATTTTAATTGAAAATTATTTATTTATTTGATTTATTATATTTTAGTTGAAAATTAATCAAGTGAATGAACAATGTCATTCTTATCACTTACTGTGATTATTTAGATCCAGAACTTTGAAGGTTTTCATTAATGAGGCATTTAAATGTAAATTACTGAAATAATTTAGAAGTCTTCCCAGATGAAAATTGCTGGTTGTGAGGATGTCAGAGCCATTGAATAGGTTAAGTAAGCTTTAGGTGCTACATTTGATTTTGTGTCTCGTTTTCCAGCTCTTGATGCCAACAAAAGGGGAAGATGGTGGTATTTGGAAATACCAATTTGACCAACAGAAATGAAAAAAAAATGTTAAGCAAATACAGTATCTCATCAATGTATTATGATTAAGTTGAAGAACAATCACATTTCTGAAAGGCCTTTTGCATGCTCATTTAGTTTGCTTCTTCCTCTCTCTTGAAGATATTTCCTATACATGGAACTGGAAAACCACACAGAGATTCCAGTATTTCTCCTACTGGGACTTTCTGAGAATCCAGAAACTCAATCTGTGTTGTTTGGCCTGTTTTTGTTGTTGTACCTGGTGACCATCTTTGGGAACCTGCTCATCATCCTGGCCATTCTCACAGACTCCCACTTGCACACACCCATGTACTTCTTCCTTTCCAACCTGTCCTTTTCTGACATATGTTTCACCTCTACCACTGTCCCGAAGATGTTGCTGAATATCCAGACACAAAACAAAGTCATCACCTATGCAGGCTGCATCACCCAAATGTACTTTTTCACAGTTTTTGGTCTTTTGGACAATTTACTTCTGACTGTCATGGCCTATGACCGCTTTGTGGCCATTTGTCACCCCCTGCACTATCCTGTCCTAATGGATACCAGGCTCTGTGCCCAGTTACTACTCCTGACTTGGCTCCTCAGTGGGCTGGGAGCCCTACCTGAGAGTATGACTGCCCTGCGCCTCTCTTTCTGTGCTGTTGTGGAAATCCCACACTATTTCTGTGAACTCCCTGAGATCCTCAAGCTCGCCTGCTCTGACACCTTCATGAACAGTATCGTGTTATATACTGTGACAGGGGTCATGGGATTTTTTCCTCTTGCTGGGATACTTTTCTCCTATTCTCAAATTGTGGCTTCTATCCTGCAGATCTCAACCAAAGGAGGGAAGTATAAAGCATTTTCCACCTGTGGTTCGCACCTCTCAGTTGTCTGCTTGTTCTACGGAACATGCTTGGGGGTCTACCTCAGCTCCACATGGACACATGCCTCTTTGACAGGGGTATTTGCCTCTGTCTTGTACACTGTGGTCACTCCCATGATGAACCCCTTCATCTATAGTCTGAGGAACAGGGACATGAAGAGGGCTCTGAGAATTCTTTTATGTGGTCTGATGTATTCAAAGTGACAGAAAAACTCACCACAAGCCTGAACAAACAGGATCAAAGAAATGGAACAAAGCTCTTAATTCTTAGCACTTTGAAGCTTCTCGTGATCGAACTGAAATGTTTTACTTATTGTGCTCATTAGCAATTTATAAATGTTCTTTGATGAAGTTGTCTTTAAGTCTGTTGCTCATTTTTATATATTGGTTTTTCTTTGGTTTATGAGAGAAATTATTTGTCATTCCTATGTGTGTGCTTGAGTCCACATGTGTGTATTTTTTTCTAAGGAATGGCTTTTTTTCAATTTAATTCATGGCATCTTTTAATGTTCAAATATACAATTTTGATAAAGTCCAGTTTTGCTGTTTTTATAAACTGAATATCCAGACACAAAACAAAGTCATCACCTGTGCAGGCTGCATCACCCAAATGTTCATCACCCAAATAATTTTGTTTGTCACCTAAATAACTTACCATGGGTATACAAAGTGTAATGGTCAAATCACAGGAGTTAGTATTTCCATGTGCATCATTGATTTTTTAAAATTTTTATTAACATATAATTTTACATACTTATAGGGTACATGACAATAATAGAGTATGTGCTTACCACATGTACTGATCAGATCAAAATAACTAACTCTTCTATTGCCACAATTCTGATTCCATTCTGTTGATCAGAATTTGAGATTTCAAGAACTGTTTGATCTTAGAAAGTGAGTAATATCATAGTATCCAACTTATTCTTTTACTACTAAATATTTGCAGTACATAACTTTTACTTTGATTTGGGGGAGTTGGTATATGTATATAATACATCTTAATTTGTTTTCACATGCCCCTTTCCTCTTCCTCTTCCCCTCTCCCTCAATCTCTTGATCTTCTTCCCACTTTAGAAAGATCTATCTCCTTACTTCCTATACCTATAATTTAGTTTGCTCTCTATTTGTAACTTGGATTTCTCATATGGGAGAAATTATGCAATATTTAAACTTGTGTGTCTATTTTATTTCACTTAACAAAATAGCCCCTGACTTACTAAGTGCAGTGGATGGGTCTTTTTGTGTTCAAACAGAATTTTGATAAAGTCTCACTTTTCACTTTTTAAAAATTATCTTTCCCTTCTGAAGATCAGATTTTGGGGCCTAAAGAATTATTTGAGGTCAGAATGTAAGTAATAATGATAGCCACCAACTTTTGCTAGTTTAACATGTTTGAAAATAATATACATTTGGTAGAAATAATTTCATGCATTTTGGATTTTTTAAACTATTTTCAGGATACAAATATGTTATTACAATGCTAAGTAGCTACTGCTGGAGTTCTTGTCAGACAGGAGAATCTTAGTGGTAAATAAATTCTCTCAGCATACTGGGTTGCTAAGCTGTCATGTTCAGTGGGTTAGGTATATCAAATTCATGTCAGACATCTGATATTTTCAATTTTTGAGGGTTTTAATTAGAGTAGCATATATATGTATAACTATTACGAGTATTATTCTTATGGATTTGTAAATAAACCATTGGAAAGAAGAAGAGAGTGGATATGGCTACATTTAAAATGCATGTAGCACCAGGGATGTAGCTCAGTGGCACAGGGCCCACCTGGGTAGCACAAGACCCTGAGTTTGATTCCTGGTACCAAAAAACAAAAATAAATAAATAAATAAATAAATAAATAAATAAATGTAAAACCTTAGGCCTTATATTTTTAACAAAGCTTGAACTGTACAAATTTATGATTAAAATTATGCAGTGTATAATTTATCATGTGTATACAAAGTTTAATGATCCGCCTGCCTAGCAAGCGCAAGGTCGTGAGTTCAGTTCCTGGTACCGGAGAAAAACCAAAAAAAAAAAAAAAAAAAAACAAAGTTTAATGATCAAATCACAGGAATTAATATTTCCAAGTCCTTAACTGATTTTTAAAATTTTTATTAACAATTGTATATACTGATTGGTTACGTGAAAATAGTTGAGTACATGCTTACCAAATGTACTGATCAAGGCAGAATAACTAATGCTTCTACCCCACAACATTTTAACAGTTTCATTAACACATATTCAATGATTTTTATGAGGTGGTTTTATGTCAGTACATGTAAACACACATACTGATAAAACCAAGATACTTAATATTTCCCTCTTGTCATTGCTTTGTGTTTGTAGTAGTCAAGCTCTTCTCTTCCTATAACTCTTCTCTTCCTATTATTCATAAAATGTGTAGTAGGTTATTGTGAAGTATTCTTGCCCCACTGTGCTGTAGAACACTAGGAATTATTCCTTCTCTTTAACTGTGTCTGGGTATCTATTTTTTAGCCACCATGTATCCTTTTCACTACTTTCCCATCCAGTGTTTAATTCCTATGTACAAGCCATATGGGAATGAAGAGGAGGACAAATGTGGGTCTGACAGTATCCAGCAAGATGCTAGTTAACTGTTAAATAGTTTTAACACTTTAAAGGTTGAATGTCTTCACTTTGGTGTGGTAACAAACAATCGCTTTAATTAGACTCCTTTTATGGAAACATTTAGGCTTCAGAGTGTGGGTCCTACCCAGTTATGCTTTGCTATTTGTTTGTCTTTTAAGGAACGTGGCTAAAGAAAGAGCCCCTACATGAGAAGAGCTAATCCTGCTAATAGAGAAAAAGGCAAGAAAATTGGTGGAATCACAATGCCTTTTACAGTTTCTTCTTATGTCTTGTCATGCCACATTTTATAAACAATGGCAGACACAGCTTGTTCTTTGGAGAAATAGATCCCACACATTACAGAGTGTGTGGATAAATAGATTAGTAGATGGAGATAAAGATACAGCTACAAGTTTGACTAACACTATTACAAAGTCTAAGTATTACTACAATGCCATTCTGCAAGCTGTTAAGCCAGAGCAACCATTCACACGACTTACAGAACAAAACTGGAAGCTTCAGTAGGCCAATGGCAGAGCCTGTTTTCAAAAGATAAAGAATGCTGATACACTAGGAGCAACTGCTGCTGCTCTGAGAGCCTATAGCCTCATGAAACTACAATGTGATGTCTGAGGGCAGTGCCAGGCAAGAGCATGAGCTCCTCTGGGAGACAGAAGGTGAAGGAGAAGGGGGCATTTTCTCTTTTCTTCCACTCAGTTCAGGTTATCTTCAATTAACAGACTTACATGCCAATCTCCTTTGAATACATGATTCTATATACATCTAGAAATAATTATTTACCAGTTTTTTAGATATTTCTTAGTCCACTCAATTTCATTCCTCAAACCTATATCTCTTTGTATAAGTCCAGTACTATAGAGAAGAGACACACATTTCCATCGTGGGAAGCACTATATCATGACCCAAATAGTGTGTGGGCTGGTGCAGTTCTCTTGCTGAAATATAGAACAAATTCTACCTGGCACAAAAATGGATACTTCGTGCTTCTGTTTACAACAACATCTATAAATTATATGGTGTGTATTTGCAGGAAGGAAGCTGAGAATAGGAGAAATAATTGGATGCACCTAGAGATATCAGATTGGTATGTGCTTCCAAGAACGGAACACAGTTAAATGGCTTCAAGGTGTCTAAAAGTCCTTAAGTTGCCTATTTGGAGCCAGCACAAGATGGTCAGTAGATTAAGCATGGCCTTTCTGAAGAAAATTTTATAGTGTCACAATAACCATACTTAATGAGGAGCAAGATGATAAGTCACAATTGCTGCTATCCATTGAAGTTCTGTTATAGAACAGATTATCTTATATGAACTTTAAAATATTACATAGTTGATACATAATCTCATTAAAATGTATGGAATTTTCTCAAGATTATACATAGGAGCCGAGGTCCATAAGGTTAATTTCCTATCATTTGGAAAAAATAGAAAAGGCAAATGTAAACTTGTTTAGGCAGAAATTGAGTTACTGAACCCAACATCTGACCACTAAATAAGAGACAGTGTGGGTAGAAGCATTCTGAATGAGAAGGCTTCAGAACTCCTGTAGTTGACTCTAGCAGAGGTGGTACTTAGAGGTGAAGCCCCAGAACTGGACTAGCAATAGTAACATCAACTTAGATTTTGGTCTAAATGCAAAATCTCTTTTTCATTTCTAATTGCATTGATATTTTTTCTATTCTTTTCATAACATGGACCAAAGATTTATCAGTCTGGTTTATCCTTTAAAAAAATAATTCAGTGAATTTTTTTGTAATTTTAGCCTCAATTTTATTTATTTCTGCTCTGATCTTTTTAAGTCTGATCTTTCTAAATTATTGCACTGTACTTTTGGATTTGGATTATTCTTTTTCTAGTTCTTTGAAATACATCATTAGTTTATTTATTGGGACTGTTCTGCTTTTTTAATATGTAGTACTGGTTTCATTGTGTCTCATAGGTTTTGGTATGTTGTTATTCCTACTTTTGACTCTAATAATTACTTAACTTCTTCTGTGAGGCGTTGGTTATTCAATAACAGATTTTTAAGTCTCCCTGCATTTGTATAGTACTTGCTTCTTTTCTGTTATTTTCTACCTTCATTTCATAGCGATTTGAGAGTAGGCAGGAGATTATTTCAATTCTGTTTTGATTTAAATAGGATTTATGGCCTGTGATATTGTCAGTTTGAGAAAGTTCTGTGTGATGCTGTAGCAAATGTGTCTTCTGTTGTTATTGGATGAAACATTCCACAGTTACTTATTAACTCCATTTGGTCAACAATGTGGTTCAACTCTGCTATTTTTTGTTTGATTTTTTTTTTGTTTAGTTGACCTATTTGAGAGAATGGGTATTTAAGTCCCCTGGTATTATTGTGTTGGTGTCTATCAGTCATTTTATGTCCAGTAGCTCTTTTTTGTGAATTTGAGTATGCTAACATTCCATGTACATATATTTACAATTGTTATCTTCTTATTGAACTATTCCTTTACCATTCAGTAGTGGTTTTGTCTCTTCTGATCTGTTTTGGCTTGAAGCCTGCTATGAAAATAGTGAAGTAGAAGTCAGGAGGATCAAAATGTAGTATGTATAGGTATCGCTCCCCATTACATGG